AATTGAGACCAGGAAGGGCTCGATAGATGTTAGAAAGCAACCATGTAGCAGCATGCTGTTTCAAGCAACTCAATGTTTCAGGCAGTTTAGTGTTTCAGTCAGTTCAGTGTTCAGACAGTTCAATGTTTCAGGCAGTACAATGTTTCAGGCAGTACAGTGATTCAGGCAGTTTAGTGTTCAGGCAGTTCAGTGTTTCAGGCAGTTCAGTGTTTTCAGGCAGATTAGTGTTTCAGACAGTTTTGGGTCTCCAGCGGTAATGGTAATTGAGGATCTCAGGTTTGGTAAGCGTAACAGATTGCCGAGTAATGCTAAGTCACCCACCGCGGGGTTCATCTATAATGATTTAGTATGAGTGGTCTATTAGGGATTCAGACCATCTCTAGACAATGATTTCAGACGGAGTAGATGTGATCTTGTTGCAAGGAATTTGTTCATCTGCAGAGTTTAGGACCTTGCGAAGGATGGTCACGGTTACCCTGGGGAAGACTAGGGTGTGTACAAGATTGTGGCCATGTTACTTCGGTAGTTGGCATGTAAGGAATGGTAAGGAAATGATTTTGAGGATGAAATCTAATTTAAGTGGGGGAGAGTTGTAATACCCTATTTATTTAATAAATAAATAGATAAAATTTATTAAAGAATAGTAACCCTAAAATCCATAATATTCAGTGAGATGTTGGTTTTAGGAGCCAAAAGTTATTATTAGGATTATTCATGGGTAAAAGTATAAATCTGGACTTCATTTGTAAGTAATATTGAAGACAGGGGCTGTACGGTAACAATTAGGACTCAATATTGAAGGAATTATCGAAGCAAGGGATAAATTGTAAATTTTGGGTTTATATTGTAAAGATTTATGGAATTAGGGGTTAAAAGGTAAAATTCGGATTCATTTTAAAAAGAAAAAGAGAAGGGGGGACCAAAGAGGTTACTAGGAGAAAATTTTATGGCACGGGGGTATATAGACATCAACACCCGTCTAACCCTAAATCTAACCCATAGTTGCAGCCGACATCACCTGAAGTTGTTCAACCGCCACCATTGTGTTAACCTCTTCCGGTTCCGCCTCCGTGACACCATCGTGAGTCACCGGTCCCGCTTGCTGCCTCGTCGGCGAGTGCCACTGTTACATTGCACACATCTACTGAAGACATTGAGGATAGCGGGGAAGATCGTCGAGGCCGGAGTTCAAGCCGTGAACGAAGAACAGCGAGCTGCGAATGACCTAAACCTTTCAGTAAAGTCAAATCGCAACCTAACTCTCTTTCCCTTCGTTCCTTTTCGGTGTGTCGGAGTTGTATGCAACGTTTTTGCCACCACTGCCCTTCGTAGTCGCCATTTCTGCCTTTTCCGACGACGTCCACCACCTAGGTGTGGCTATGGGAGTATGTGTTCGCTCATTCATGTTGATGTAGGCATTTGTGGTGGGGTAGGTGTGTTGATTGGCCGAAAATACCCGAGAAACACCACCATGGTTGCCAACCATGGTGGCTGGCCGCCTTGTTATCTATTTTGCCGCCACCAGCCACCGTGGAGAGGTGGCTGTGTGTGTGGTTTAG